GAAAGTATAAACAAAATTACCATGGATTTAGGTGTTGGACAGACTACTTTGATAGGGTGGGGAAAGAAGAGGTCCGACATCGAGTCTTGGTGCGTGAAAAAAGCATGTTCGGATAGTTTAAAGGAAAGAAAATGTATGAAAGTTGGTGAATACGGAAAAAGTGAGGGAGGCGCTTTATTTGTGGTTCAGGCAGCAAAGGGAATAGGGACACCCATTTCAGGATTAATTTTACCAGAGAAAGCCCTAAAATTGTATGATGATTTTCAAGAAGGGAGAGCTTGGATTTACTGCTAGTGCTAACTGGCTCGACAGATGGAAAAAGCGGTACGCCATCAGACCGTTAAACATTTGTGGGGAAAAGCTCTCCACTAACTTGGAAAATACTGGAATATTCAAGGATAATTTCCACAAACTAATTGAAAAGGATGGTATATCTGGAGATAAAATTTATAATTGTGATGAGACCGGTTTGAATTTTTAAATGCTACCTTCGAAAACGCTGGTATCCAGGGAAGAAAAATCGGCACCTGGCTACAAAAGAAACAAGGAGAGAATCACAATCTCGGCATCCAGCAGGAAGCCATAAGCTCAAATGGCGCAATATTTAATGACTGGTTTCAGCAGCAGTTCGTTACATCGGTGGAATAAATTTTAAAATTAAAAAAATTACCAAGGAAGGCGATTCTCATTCTAGAAAATGCCGCATCCCATCCTGACGCAGAACAGTTACGAGACAAAGATATAAGAGCCATACTTCTCCCTCCTTAACGTAACTTCAGTGTATCAGCTGATGGACTAGGGCGTTTTGGAGGCAATGAAGGGAAAATACAGACGTAAACTTCTTTCATTTCTTGTCCTAGCCAATAGGAAGAGTGTGATCATGGAAGAAGGAGGAAGGGTGTGATCTGATCGAAAAACTGAAGAAAATAGATATGTTGGGTATTGAGCTCATTCTTGGAGTGAAATCGAGCAATTGAACCTCGTTTGTTCCTAGACCATTCGGGAAACAAATATTTCGAGAGCAGGGCAGAGAGAGAAAATTGTGAAATAGTTGGCTTACTTAAAGAAATTCCAGGCTGCGAAGAAATTACTGATGTTGAAGAATGGATGGGATAAGATGAAAAATTGTGAAATTTTAGGATATGCAGAAACAATTGCATTGGTGAAAGGCAATGTGGATAAAAATGAAGATCTATCAGAAAACAATGGGAAAGCTAAAGTGATGAGTCATAGTGAAGGACTGAAAGCCGCTAAAGGAATGCTCCGTTACATGGAGGGGAGCAAGGTGCATCTGGTATGGACATTTTGTTCCTCCTTCGCCTACGAGATGCAGCTGCACGACAACGGAATGAGTGTGAGAGACAATCTATCATCACACGATATTTTGCTACCAAAGAACTACTAATTTTTCTTCATTTTTATATGCAAGTTTTTTACCCACTTTTCTCAGGGTATTTGTCCTTTTTGACTCCTATTGTGCTAGAGCTTGACGTAAAAAAAATCGACAATAATTTAATCGTATGCTGTATTTTTCCAAGTCCAATACTATGCTACAAATATCTAGAGTAATTTACAGTTAAATATTAAGAGTTCTGAAAAACCCATACCTTATTCAGTAAAACTCGACAGTCTCTCAGTCCACATTGTGTCGAGTTTGCGGAACTCTACTGCATTACAATACTTGGAACCTTGTTCAGGAGACTGTATTTTAGAATAAACTGCAAAAATTCAAAAGGACCGTCTTTTAACTTCCTTATTTCATTTATGCTAGCAATAACGGAAATAAAACTCTCTCTAGAAGATATCTTTCTAAGTGATGAGTTCTGTTTTATTAATGTCACTGTGATCGTAATTTAGTTGATATTCGTAAATTTCATTCAAAAGTTTCGTCGGAATAAAAATGTATGGCAGGAGTATGTAGCCTTTGGAACCTCTTGATGATTTCTTTGAATATTGTATCCAGAGCGAAAACTGTTTTTTTGCCCCTCAATTTTAATTCCGTATGGTAATTCAGAATTTCATTACTATTTGCGTGCCTTGACGATCCACATAACTAGCCCCTATAAAGCGTTTCGCGCGAAAAATGTCGGCTGGTTTGAACCGCCCCCTCTACCTACGCCACTGGCACATGCATATTGCCAAGATTATTAGTATGAATTTAGTACTTAGTTTGTTTCAGTAACTCTATTTTACATTTGGCTATAGTGTGTTTGCGGCTTCTGTACAATTTAAAACTTCAAATGACATTTTTATTTCCTGATTTGCGAACTACGGCTGACTGAAACCGCGAATTAGGAGTTTACCAATTTACCGTACGAGTATTGCCGAAATATCGCGCTAAGCGCAACGTCTCCGGCTCGATGACAAGCAATGCCATGAAGGCACATGACGTTAAAAATGCCGAGCAGTATTTCCAGAGGGAAAAATCTTGAGTTGTAGAGGAGTACCCAGACATCACAGGTACGAGAAGAATACCATCAGATAGCTAAAGTCCATGCGAAAATCACAAGACAAGTCCGTGCGCTGGCGCCATCTGTTAGAACCCACTAGAAACTAAAAGAGAATTAGTAAGTCATCATGCCGAAAGCTAACTAATTTATAAGTTCGCTTTGATCATCTCTGCTACGATCCCCAGATCAAGCAACACTTTTTCTTGAGGTGACTGCAAAATTTTACACTTTTCAGCAAACTCCATAAATTTGAAAAGAAGTTTCTTAAGGTTTTCGTCCAACACGAACACGAAATCCTGTGAGCCATGCAAATCAGCATCGGAGTAAGATTTCACACTTGGAGGTTTTCTTCCAGGTTCTTGCTTCTCATTCAAAGACGGCTTGCTTGAAGCATCAGGGACTCGCTGATTGGTCGATTGAGATCGCTTCTTCGGATGTTCAACTTTTCGATCCTTTGGTCGAAATTCACAAATTTTTGCCGACGCTACATTTTCCAGTTTACAGTTGAAACACGTAGGTTTCGTTTCTTTCTGAAGTTTACAAGTATAGGTAAGATGACCTTGACCGCATTTCAGACATCTAGGGAGATTGTTGCAGAACAATTGCCCGTGACCATATCTTTGACACTGGTAACACATCATAGTGTTCCTGTTACTTTTAAATTTGCTAAAAGTCACTTTGAGATCCAGTAGCTTCTTCTTTTGGTAAATGCTCCTTCCAGCATCATTTCTCTGAAGAGACATAGAAGACGGGAAGTTTCACTTCTGAACCGTCAATTTTCCGTGTGAACTGGGTTACCTTGTTCACAGAAAAACCATTTTTGCGTAGCTCTTTCTTGATTTCTTCAGTAGAAGAGTCGTTCGTGAGACCTCTGATAACAACTTTTAAAGAAGTGTCCTTCTTGGCTCTAAAAGTGCTAAACTGAATTTCCTTCTTCATCAGGATAGCAAGCGCTCTGTCACGTTGGTCGGCAAAATCAAACAGGATTGTTATTTTCTGCCTGGTCAGCATACCCGTAAATTTCTGAACTCCATGGAGAAAAGACTTCTAATTTCATTCCATGAGACCTCCGGTCGAGGACAGATGATCGGCGAGACCCTTTCTTTCCTAGAAATCTGCGTGGAAACGTCAGCATTTTCAGGCAAGTCATCTTTCGTAGAAGTTTCATGATTAGTGTCCATTTGTTCCGCAACGGGAACAGAAGACAACACATCGAAATTATTACTCGTGGAAATACCGCAACAGTCTTTGGAGTAGACGTAGTATTGACAGGAGTTTTGCTTGGTCCAGGAGTCCGAACAGCAGGCATCTTATCAGTTTTCTGTGGTTGTATCCACCTTTCATCTTCTTTCAACATTGATTTTGGTTTAGAGTCTATCTTACGAGCAGAATCAGTAGGTGTTGATTTTGGTTTAGAGTCTATCTTACGAGCAGAATCAGTATGTGTTGATTTTGAAGCAAACCTATTTCTTCGAATATTTTGCCGCCGGAGAAGTTCAACAGTGAACTTATGTTCCTTTGGAAACAGCTTGGCATGCTCAGGATCGTTAAATTGCTCTCGTCCCAAATCTTCAGATTCTGCAATCGCATAGAATATCTTTTCTGCTCTTCGTAAAGCGGCTTTAATAGGTTTACCATCTCTCAGTTGCTGCTGGAGTTCATCCATGTTTCTAAGAGCATTAAAAAGTTTTTTTTCTCCACCATCATCCTCTGAATACCCAAGGCAGTACAGACCAGCATAGGTCTGATCAACAAGGAACACCGCTGTGTTCGTTAGGCATAGCGAGGCAATAGTCCGCACGAGGCGGGGACGTCAAACGACAGACACGTGACAATAGTCAAGCGAGAGCAACAGGGATGCACAACCTTCACGGATCAGGGCAACCCCCAGAATGAATTAGGAGTTATGACAGTACTGCCACTTAAAAGTCGAGCTCAAATCATCTGAATCTAAGCCTAATCATGCAGAACAGTATATCCTAGGTTTAAATATTTACATTGCTATTCTAAATGCCCAGATCTTTCAATCTTAAAAACAATGCTGAAATTCGACACTTTATTTTTACTCTGCTTGCAATAGGTTCCTTTCCCAGTTTTTAATATCATTTCGTCTAGACAAATAATACAAAAGTGTTGAATTACAACAAAAATGGATGGCCCTCATATGCTTTGTGCCGTGATCTATTAGCCTAATTCGAAACAATATACGATTCAGATACATTGGCATCTCTAACTGAATTATTATAGCATCATAAGACAACTGTCAAGTATTAATATATATATATATATATATGTTTGATGAGGAAATCATGTGCTGTTAAGTAAGGGTTGAAATGTTAAAGCATACGAAGTAAACTTTTTTTAATTACCCTTAAAAACTAAACCAGCAATCAGTGCTGAAGGTATACTTTGAAATTAATGCTGGGAATTTAAGCTGAAACTAAAGGGAAAAAAAAAAAAAAAAAAAAAAACCCTGTCTAAATGCTACCTAGATTCATAATATGATTAAAAGCTAAAAAATGTGATTAAATCCTAAAATTTTTTTTTCAGAAATTATCCAGTTCAAGCAGTTCACAGAAGTATAATTTATTTACTGGTTGTGATGATGAAAGCTATGAAGAAGAACCTTTCAAAAAAATTGAAGAAGCCACGTGTTACTGAACACATATTCGAGATCTCTATTTTTTTTTTTTTTTTTTTTTTTTGTGTGTGTTATTTCAGTTTCATTCTTCAAATGTGTTTAAAATACAATAAATTAAGAATCTCAGTTTTACAGATTATTTTAAGAAAAAAAAATCAATACATAATAAAAATAATAATAACTTTATTTTTCTGATAGGCATTTTTTCTCATATTTAGAAGTTAATAAAAGTTATTTATAACAGTTCATAATTACCTATAACAAAGATACTTTTATATTAGTTTATAACGTTTGCCATAAAAACATATACAAACAATAATTTTGATTTTTACAATAATGATTTCAGTTTAAAACAAAACCGTACAAAAATTCAAAAGTTACAATTAATTAGCAAAAAAGCTTGAATAAAATAAACATGAAAACTATAAAGCAATACAGTGGAGTGACAGAATATTTATAGGATGCACCAAGAGATATAAATTAATTACAAAAATTTCACATTATTTTCTAATAGCACTTGAAAACGGAATTTAAGGAACAGGTCTGTAAGTAAGCATACATAAAATTTAAGCTCATCTGTATATTTACACAATACTCTTTTTACTATTTTATAATAAAAAAATACATTTCATCCTTAAAATTATTGCAATTTTATTTTTTATGCATTTTTTCAAAATTATGAGAAATACAAAACAACTGTAACTGAAACCTTAGTAATAGTCTATTCAATAAGTATTATGCAGTAAATAAAATGTTCCTGGATTCAATTAAATAAAATTCAGCTTCAAAATAAAATTTAGTTTTACATTTAATGATGTCAGCATAACAAGAAACACAATTAAAAATGCATTTAATTTCATAAACATCTGCTAAAATTTACATTTAGCTTGCAACAGAATTTTATAAAATGTTAAACAAATGAAAACTGAGAAACAGAATTCCATAGAGTTTAAATGAAGAAATCATGCCTTTTTCCTTGCATAATACTCGTATATTACACTTCATAATCATGACAGTTTTGTATGACAGCTACTTATGGTAGCTATTAAATTCTCGATTTTAGCCCTATACTAATGAAAAACAACAAGGATTTTTCTGCACTATCAAAAAGCTTCAATCATACGCATAACATGATTGTCAAAATTTGCATAAGTAACTTATTTAAAGCACATTAAACATGTTATATTACGTTTTCCATTTTGAATAAAGTCAATCTAGAATATTTGTTTTTACTTACAGCTAAAAAATTATGATTACTATCAAATTAAGAATTATAATATGCAAAAAAAATTCCGCATATTTTTTCGGGGGTTGCTTCCGCTCATTCCCCATAGGTTAATCAAAGTACACACATGACGGAGATATCTCAAAGAAACTTTCACCTGGCCATCAAAATATTTACAAACACTCTCTTAAAGGAGTTTTGTAATTAATCAGGAATACAGTAAGTTCTCCATTTTTTTATCTGCACATTTCTCATGTGGATGTGAGATGTCTCACATGTCCAAAGCTATGAAGTAGCAATCTGAAAGTAGAAATTATGTATGCACATCAATGGAACTTAATCACATCTGTCTGCACATTAGCATGAATAGCATAACAAGAAGTTAACTACTAATTACAAGTTTCATTACTAAGCTGAGAGCCCCTGGTGTTAACTCAAGGATTACTTAAAAAATTCTATCAGCACAAGTAATTGTAAATTTAAAATTTTTAAATAATCACAAAGAATAAACAACTAAATTCACTAATCATAGATCTTCCACTGGTGTCATTTTGACATCAGTGCATACTTATCAGTTTATCTCTTTTGAACATTTTTTGAATTTTAATTAATTTATGAAACTTTTAAATTTACCTGAGAAATACATAAATAAAATTTTTATCACGAAACTATCTTAGTGAGAAGGAATTCTATGGCCAGTTTCACCATCTGCTCATGTCATGACTCAAAGTAAAATTCCAAATGCAATGGGTTTTCAAATATCAGCATTGCTTGAAAAAATATTCCAATATGACCTTGAGTTCAACTTCTTTCAGCTTTTCAAGGGCACTTATAAAATACCTTTCATCCTTCTTCTTATAAATAGCTGTCCTGCTGATAGAATAATGTTTGTCAAACAATTACATCCTAATAAAACAGGATGCTTATTTGCTATTTACACAATATCAACCAGTTAATATAGTCAAGATTATTTTATAAATATACATTTTGCTTATTTAGGACGGAAAAAAATCTCAATGCGAAAGCTGAAGAATGACAAAATATGATAATTTTTCATATCTTCAGTATTATCAAAAGATATAATAAATATAAACATGATGTCCTGTACAAAATCTGAATAATGTTAAAAAAAAATTTCCAGACAGTCTTAAGTAGGAAAGCCATTCTTTTTTTTAACAGATCTTTGTAAGTACTGGCACCACACGTACTTGATACACTTATCAAGAAGCAGAACAGCATCAATGTATTGATCAATCTAAATTCAAATGCTGTGCACCTTATTAAATTTCAAAAATAAAACCAAATGAAGTACAAATACCATCCATCAAACAGAAAATATTTTATGAAAGCCACATTAATGCAATGTTCAATGGTATTTCACATCTTGCAGCAACAAAAGTATGGCATATTTAAAAATATGCATCAGTTAAGCACATATGAAGATAAAATTTACACAGAACAATTCATTAAGAAACTGCATTCAAACTATGAAAATAATATAACAATTCTTCATTCCATTTCACACAATTTCAATTCAATAACAAACTTAACGATATATATTATAAGCATAAAATAAAAATATTTCTGAAAAAACTTAATTTTACAGGAATAAAAAAATTATTTTAACAATTGACAAAGATTTTAAGATTTAAGTAACAATAATTTAATATCACAGAAATTTTAATACCACTATCAAGGAAGACAGACATCAATATCTTTTCTAAGATATCAATGAAGGCTAGTAAATCTAGTATTAATACTTAAACAATAAAAATAGCCACCTATTAGCATGGTAGTAAGCGAGCCAGCTGCCACAGCTTTGGACATGGATTCAAATCACAGAGAACGAATGGATATTGTTGTAGTGACTTTGCAGCATGGGGGCACTTAAATTAGAGTTGAGCTGAAAAGCCCTTTTGAAAGGTTATGGAACGTCAAAGGCGGAAGACCCTCAGATCTGTTCCCCGAGGAATTCTTAAAAATTGGGATGGTCCTGGACAAATTCACACCACCTATACGGTGCCCAAGGCCTAAGTGAACAACAGTTACAACCCTTACACTCTTTGCCACAATAAAATTCATAGACCTGATCTGATGTTACTCTCAGACAAGTGAGAAAGTTAAAGCACAACAGAAGAATTATAACTTTTTTTTAAACTACTTACAAGAAAAATATAGAAAGACCATTTCATTTTTATTAAGCTGACAACTATTTAAATTAAAAAATATGACTGCACACAAAAGTTTGTTAATCACAGGTAAATTGTTCCAATGAAATGTATCTGCATAGTTGATACTTTCCAGGATAATGCGTATTAACATTTTGAAGGTTAAATCTTGATGCATACTTTATACTTAACATTTTCCTCTCAACCTAGAAAACTAATTAAATATTTGGCTAGAAAAGTTTGATACTGTTAATTCAAGTGTTACTTCTTTAAAAGTTAATTAATTACAGTGAAACATATAAGAGATCTACTCTGATAAAATGTGATCTGTGAGGAGGACTTTTTAAGAAAAACTAGTTCACATTTATTTCACGTGGGGGAATAATATACTGATGCAAACAACTCATTCTGTAATTGTAGGAAGTGAATCTGGACTGTAATTACTTTTCAATTTAAACTGTAGGTTGTCTATTTAGAGAATTCTATAGAACCATAAAATAACTTTAGAATACACCTAGATGCTTAACTCTAGAAAATACACAATAATGCTGGTCATCTGTGTTCTTTACCACATCTTAAAAGTATCAGCTACTTTTACTAAAAATAGCGCAATTAAAATTGCTAATTATCATTTCCTTCAAAATACACATGACAATTCCATAACATTAGTCTTTAATTACTAAATAATTATGAAAACAGTTCCTTTTCCATCATAGATTAGTGCATCTATAAACTTATAAAACATATAAATATATATTATCTCTGCTCAATGTAAAAAGTACTCTTAGTTACATACAAAAATAGACCAAAATATGCAATAGATATAATTCTGTTATAAGTATCTACATCTATCTCTCTTATATACTACATACATATATATATATATATATATTATATATATATATACATACATACATACACACACACACTGGTATGTATGTGTGTGTATCATATATACAATACTGCTGCATGCAATATGCTTTGTATCCTAGTCCCACATTCTTTTCAGTGCAAAGCAATAATTCACAAAGTTAAGATTATATTTAAATAAATCATCTAAATAATAAAATCAAGTATTAAACACAAAAAAATAATTTACTATAAATTTTCCACTATATTTATTGAGAACCATGAATATTATGCATGAATTTGTGCATATCAATTTATCATCTTTTAAATTTACAGAAAGAAAATTTTAAAAGAAACAACATATCTGAGTAACATGCAACAGAAATAGAAAAAACAATTTAACAGTATAATAACAGTTCTGTGATGTAATTTTATTTATCTCTAATCTTATTTATGTGTAATCTTATTTATCTGTAATTATATTTGTCTACACTATAATATAACTACTTTGTAACCATATGTTTATTTAACATTTGTGTATTTTGCCTTTTTGATGCTGTTCTGTGAAATAAATTTTAAAAAAACCCTCCCTCATGTTCCAGGGCCTTGACGTTGGCGAGGGGCTTCTCACTAATCTGGGACACAAACAAAGATCTAGAACACTTTCAACACATATACACGCATATATTTATTTCAAATATGCATGCAAACAATCGCTAATTCAATAAATAAAAATCAGTCATATTACTTATTTATATTACTTCATATTTATTATAAAATAAATAAAAATACGAAAAA